CACTTCTTAGTTGGAATGCCAACTTTAAACATATATTTTTGCCAATATATCTTTTTTTTTATTTCTATTTCTTTAACTCATTTTTGAAGTGGTCATTCTAGCCAAGTGTTAGAATCTTGGAAAATAAATAAAAATTTTGCTTACTTGTGCACATTCTTTGTATAAATGTCTTAAAAAAGAGAGAAAAAAAAAAAAAAAGGCTTAAACAACAAAATATCAAATTAAGAAAAACAAACTACAATATAGGTTACAGTGCCAACTCAAATTTCCTAGAATATTGCTTGTGTTTTTTTCTTGAAATTCTAGCATAGGCAGCCAAAGAAACATATGAAGATGCTCTTTCTTAACTGTAAACATTCACATACAAAGAAAAGAGAAGGGATCTTAACCAAAAAAAATTTTTAAAAAAACCCAAAAAGAAACAATGTTTACTGCGTATATACTGTTTTTGCTGTAACAATTACTTAAATATGTTCCAGTTAAAACATTTATATTTTCTACAGGATATACAATTAAGTGCAGATTTATGGCTAACTGAAATTTATATGTCATCTAGTGACTAGTATGTGTGGATAGGGTAATGACTATCGGATGGAAATTGGATTCAGCATGTTGGGTTCAATTCCTGCTTGATTCTGTTTCATTCACTTTGCACTAATTCCCTTGGAAAACAGCATAAATCCATCTTCTTCCAGCTATGGATAAAATAGCAAGGAAAACTGTGCTCACTTGCTTTGAGGTGGTAACCAATCTAGAAGAAGGAAAATTCTGAATTTAAAACCAGCTTGAAGAGGGATGGGCTCCGTCAGGCTATCTTACTCTAGACACCATAATTTCATTTCATTCATACTATTATGGCTGCATTACATGTAGTGTTCCAATAAGGTTAATGTCAAGATTAGTTGTTCTTTGTTGCATGCCCTTTCCAGAGGCACAGATAAGCATAACGGTTATCAGTGCAGAAAGCGAATCCAGCATGTTGAGTTCAATTCCTTCCTGATTCTCTATCATTCACTTTATGCTAATATTCTTAAAAAATGTATGCATCCATCTTCCTCCAGCTATGGGTTAAATATTAGGGCAAGCTACACTCTATTCACTCAAGATCACAACCAATCTAAGAGAAGGAAAACCAAATTCAAAACCAAACTGAAGAGAGCCAGGTTTCATTAGGCTGTCTTGCCCTGGAAACACTCCTTCTGCTATGTCTACAGTACATGTGGTGCGCCGATGAACTTAACGAGTTATGATACTTGCGATATGACAATAGTCCTCACTGTGTGTTCTGTATATGTGACAATAAATTAGACTTTAAGCAAATAATATATATTAGTGTGGGGAGCAACTCACTCTGAGGTAGGTGTTGATAAAATAAGGCCCCCAATTATGGTAGTGAAATTAAACCTCACTAGCTTCTCAATACAACTGACCTTCAACTGTACAGTAGCTAAATTTGCTGATTAAAAATGCTCAGACGTTTTTTTAATCATTTCACCCCAAGCAAGGTAATAAAGTGACTAAAATACAAGGATTACTGAGTGTGAAAGAATATGAGAAAAAGGAAAACATTATTAAGGAGAAAGAACAATAAAAGATCGAAGTTGACTGGGAAGCAAGAAGCCAGAAGAGACTTCCAAATTGCAAGAAACTGTTAGCATAGAACATATGATTACACCTAGTCATCTCAAGAGTAAAATGATGAGACCTAACTGCCAATCTAGTACCATGTTTAAATTCGTAAAATCATGATAACAAAGAGGAAAGCTCATCAGAACAATTACCATGAAAATACTTATAGAAAGGGCACAGGTAAGCTACATTATGATCATGGGAAAAGTCACTGAAGCTGACATTCAATATACATCTTGACATACACATTTTTGGCATTTTCTAGCATTTACACCATTTTATTTCTTATTTAAATGTTATATTAAGTAGATACACATGTTTGAGTAAATATCCGCATTTTTTTAAGCAGTGTTAATTTACATCTAACGGTTTGTGCAGTTGAGAGTCTTAATAAAGAAAATGTGCCTTCTGAGTGGGCTTACAGCTGCATCATGTTAAAACACCAGTTCCCATACAATCACCAAAGTTAAGCTTGGTCAGTACCTAGATAGGGGATTGCTTGAGAATACCAGGTGCAGTAGGCTTGGATTTGTAGGTGAAGTGGATAATGGCTCAGAATTGTTTATCAGAGAGCTGGGTTCTAATTCCAGTTGAGTTTGTTATATTTACTTAAGCACAAATATTCTTGGGAAAGTCATGAATCCCTTATCCCCCAGGTATGGGTTAATTAGTAACACTTGTATCACTAAGTCATTATTATCTTGAGAAAAACAATTCTCACAATTTAAAAATATTTTCTGGCTTTAAATAACCTGCAAAGGGTTGATAAACCATAGAAAATGAATGAATGAATTAATCAATACCTTCTGGTAAGGTTTGAATTTGCATCCCACTTAAAGGGAATGCCTGGCATGCTTTACACCACTAAATTACGGAAAACTTTCACAATCAAATTCAATTATTTTATTTAAAAAATGCATAACACTTGTTTGGATAACTCAAAGCCATTAGTAAAGTAATAAAAAAATGTTGGATTATAAATAAAATGCATTAACTCCTGGGAATATATAAGGCTGAAGAAATATAGTCTTAAGGTGTGCTATATTTATAGGATAAAATGCTCAATATCAGAGATAGAGCATATGTAAATATAAAAGTGAACATTAAAGTCAACACTCAGAGGCAACAGACTGTTTCATGCTAAATGCAATCATCAGGCCACATGTGTTATTTTTTTTGGGGTCAGTGGTGCATCGTGGGTAGTCTATTCTAATGGTTATTTTGGCAGGAGTGAATTATTTATTTGGATTAATTTATTTTACTTGTTTTTTATTTATTTTTATTTTATATATTCTGTTTTCAATTTTTTAGTAATGTAGCAAAAAGTTTTTTTGAGATGAGTTCTAATCATTTATTTAGTAGTTTGTTTTGGTATGGGAAGGTAATTATAGCTATTTTTTCGTCCAATTTTGGGATTTATATATATATATATATATATATATATATATATATATATATATATATATATATATATAGAGAGAGAGAGAGAGAGACAAACTACTCATTTATGGACTTTGGATGAAATGGAAAAAAATCTGCACTCAAAATAAAAAAAATCTGCACTCAAAATAAAAAAAATATGTATGAAAAATAACTTCAAATTATCAACAATTTATTTCAAAATTTGCAGGCTTAGTGGAATGAGTCATATTAGTTCTCAAAGTGACCGTTTGCCGATGGTAGTGGGCTTTTCAATTGTAAACAAAGATGGGTCTACACTATATAGAGTATGAAACATTTGCACGTGTGTGAGAAAGTAGCTGTGAGACATCTTTTATTTTTGTTATTTTGATTAATATATTAATTGTCCTGTCCTCATCATGTCATCGAAGCAGAAGTGTAAAAAGGAAGCATACAAACCTAAGTATCAGTGACAAATTAGAGATCCTTAAGTAGTTAGAGGCTGGATTTTTGTTCAAAAAAGTGTACAAGCATCATGATGCAAAAAAACCCAAAAAAACAAAACAAACAGAAGGAACTGGAAGAAACAGGCTACAAGCGATACATTCAACACTGGTTACCAAGTTCTTTCCATGGAGGAAATAGCAGAATCAGTAGTGGCTGGTACTGATTCAGTTGAATCTACAGACAATCGGCTTTAACAGACCGCTCCTTACTCCTATTACTCCTCTGTTGATGAGAGGTATATATATATATATATATATATATATATATATATATATATATATATATTTGTAGAGTGGATAAATGAAATGGGCAAATATAAGTAGACAGGTATGTGTGTGCTGGTGTGCATATGCAGGCAAGCAAATAAATAATCGTTAAATTTATACATGAGGCATATACATAATAGTGACTTCCGGCAGCATAGACCCCATGCCGGATGAACTGGGAGCACCACCCAGCGAAACTATAGTTGCACACCAAAAATGTAGGTACACATATATGTACTAAATATATATATATATATATATATATATATATTTTTTTTTAATCATATCACCTCAAGTTAGGCAGTAAAGCTACTAAATCACAAGGGGTTACTGGGTATGAAGGAATTAGGAAATAGAAAACATTATGAAGTAGCAGGAACAATAAAAGAATAATCAGGAAGACAGTAGATAGTGATTGACATTGCATTGAAATTTTTGAAGATCAAAATTGATGGAAAGCATGAAGCCAAAAGAAAGTTTCACAAGTGAGAAGTGTGAGAAAAGGAACTGTTAGGATAGAACTTAGAGTTACATTGATTCATTTCGACTGTATATAATGTGTGTGTGTATATATATATATATATATATATATATTATAGTTATTAATTTCTGTCATTTTGACAAAGGATATATTTAAAAAGAAAAAAGTAAAAGCCCATATATGGTTTCCTCCTATTAACTGTGGATAGGCATGGCATTGATGCTGAGTTCATCCAAATGGTAAGCATGTGGCCTGCCATATCTGACACCATCTCTTTCTGCTGTAAATGTCCTGTTATATTCCCAACTTTGAGTGACAGACAAGTAAAAGACACTGTTTAGCACATTCAAGGGTGCAAGACTGATAAGTTTGTACAGCCGGAAGAATGCACTACCCTTAGTGAATGGTAACACCGTACATTATTATTGTAAGCCACCGCCCATGACTTTCTGACATTACCATTTTTCTTATTTAATGGAGTTTGAAGAAAAATTTCTTTTTTTTTTTTTGAGAGACAAAAGAGGGAGGTCCAGAGAACTTCTTGAAAAACGGTTTTATTCAATGTAATGAATATCCATTATCTTTGAAATCTGAAACGGAATTTGGTAATTTATTTTTTTAACAAAATATCTTGGAGGGAAAAGGAACTTGGAGGTGTGAGAAATAATTTTCGAAAATAAATGAAAAATGCATGATTTCATTTTTTGCAAAGTTAGCTATAATAATGAATATTTTATTGTCATGATAAGGAAGGTCAAAGGTTGAAGAGAAAGAAGTGAGTGCAGGGACAGTTTAGGGGTTAGTGAGCGGTGGGGGCAGTTGGGGGAGAGAGCGAGTGGGTTGTTGGGGAGGTGTGAACAAAAGGGCAGTTTAGGGGGAAGTGAGTGAGGGGGCAGTTGGGGAAGTGAGTGAGGAGACAGTTGAGGTAGAATGAGTGAGCAGAAAGAGGAGAGAGTCAGAGGCAGATAAGTGAGTAGAGAAAGGAGGTGGTGGACAGTAAAGAAGTGAACAGAGAGAAAATGGGGCTGTTGAAGGAGAAGAAATGAAGAGAAGGAGAGGTTGAATGAAGAGAAATATCTGAACAGAGATGAGGGGGTGATTGAAGAAATAGTGAGCAGAGAGAGGAGGTGATTGGAGGGAAAGAAGTGAACAGAGACAGAAGGTAATTGAAAGGGAAGAAGTGAACAGAGAGAGGAAGTTGACTGGAGGGTAAGAAGTGAAGAGAGAGGATGTGATTGAAGAGGAAGAAGTGAACAGAGAGAGAGTGGATGTGAACAGAGAGAGAGTGGATGTGATTGAAGAGGAAGAAGTGAACAGAGAGAAGATGTGATTGAAGAGGAAGAAGTGAACAGAGAGAGAGTGGATGTGATTGAAGAGGAAGAATGAACAGAGAGAAGATGTGATTGAAGAGGAAGAAGTGAACAGAGAGAGAGGAGGTGATTGGAGGGGAAGAAGTGAACAGAGAGAGAGGAGGGGTGATTGGAGGGGAAGAAGGAACAGAGAGAGAGAGGAGGATTGAAGAAGTGGAACAGAGAGAGGAGGTGATTGAGGGGAAGAAGGAACAGAGAGAGAGGAGGGATTGAAGAACAGAGAGAGAAGGTGATTGAGGGGAAGATGAACAGAGAGAACAGAGGGGAAGAAGGGATAGAGAGAGGAGGTGATTGAAGAGGAAGAGAGAGGATGGGAACAGAGAGAGAGGGATGGGATTGAATTGGATTGAAGAGGAAGAAGTGAACAGAGAGAGAGGAGGTGATTGGAGGGGAAGAAGTGAACAGAGAGAGAGGAGGTGATTGGAGGGGAAGAAGTGAACAGAGAGAGAGGAGGTGATTGGAGGGGAAGAAGTGAACAGAGAGAGAGGAGGGATTGAGGGGAAGAAGGAACAGAGAGAGGAGGTGATTGAGGGGAAGAAGGAACAGAGAGAGAGGGAGGGAGGGAAGAAGTGAACAGAGAGAGGAGGTGATTGGAGGGAAGAAGTGAACAGAGAGAGAGGAGGTGATTGAAGAGGAAGAAGTGAACAGAGAGAGGTGGACGAAGAGGAAGAAGGAACAGAGAGAGAGGAGGGATTGAATTGGAGGGAGAGAGGGAGGTGATTGAGGGAAGAAGAGAGAGAGAGGAGGTGATTGGGGGGAAGAAGTGAACAGAGAGAGAGGAGGTGATTGGAGGGGGAATTGGGAACAGGGAGAGAGAGGATTTGTGGAGGGGAACAGAGAGAGAGGAGGTGATTGGATAGGAAGAAGTAAACAGAGAGAGGAGGTGATTGGAGGGGAAGAAGTAAACAGAGAGAGGAGGTAACTGGAGGGGGAAAGTGAATGGAGATTAACCAGTTAAAGGCAAAGTGAGAAAGAAAAGGAGGCAATTGAATATAAAGCAGAGAGAGAGAGAGAGGGAGAGAGAGAGGAGGTGATTGAAAGGGTAGATGTGAACAGAGAAAGGAATAGTTTGATAGGGAAGTAATATGCAGTATGAAGAAGGTGAAAAGAGAACAAATAGAATCAGAGAGGGGGTGAAAAAAAGTAAGAGTGAGAATATCAGTAAAAAGTGAAAAAACACGTGATGGAGAAAAACAGGAAATGAAATGAAATTTGGTAAGTCTAAAATTTTCAACTAAAAATTGTCTACATTTATGATTATTTAGTAAAAATCATGGGGTGAATGGAGGGGAAATCAAAGATCAGCAAGAAAGACTGAAATGAAAGAAAAGTTCTGGGAAGGAGAAGATAAAATGCCATGTGAAGGTGAGAGTTACATAATGAAAGGTACTTAGAGAGAGGAGGAAAGACAAAGTGAGAGGTACAAAGAACAGAGAGAGAGAGTGATGTACAAAACACATCATGAAGGGGGTACAAAAGAATAGAGAAATGGAGGTGCAAAAGTACAGAGAGAGAGGGGGTACAAAGTACAATATTTTATTTCACTTTAATACTTTGTATAATTAAACTTTAGGATACCATAATCTACTAAAGAATGGAAAAATTCAAGAAAAAAAATTCTACTTCTGTCCCATAACAATTGTTCCATTTGTATACATATTTCATATATTAATTGTAAAAGTTATTATGGGACATAGATATATGATTATACAATTTCTATCTGTGATAGTTGTGACATTTGTATACACATTTCATATACTAATAGTAACAATGATTATGAAACAGAGATATTATATGATTATATAATGTCTGTCCCATAAAAATTGTTACATTTACATACACATTTCATATACTAATTTAGCAATTACTATTGAACAGTAATGCCACTAGATTGGCTAGTGGTTAGTGAATTAGTTGACAAATACTTGTGGTCTTGGACCAAACTATACTGAGCTTATTAACCTTTAGCATATTGTAGGTGAAATTGTTTGTAGAGCAAAAGATTTGTTCTTCAGACAACTCTGAACACCAAATGATAGTGTGTTTGAATTTTTCAGTTGTGTTGTTATGTCCTGCTATGGCAACAGAAAATACCATTAACTGAAATCAGCAAGTGGACTGCTACAGTTTAGAGACCTTGAAAAAGAATGCAGTAAAAGGGGAATACTTATGAATAATAGTGTTAGTCAGTTATGTGCCATGTGTGATACATGCTTAGGCGATCATGTATCTTTCTATACATGACTGACGAGGCAGATTTTTCCCGCAGTAACTTGCCATTTCTTTCTGTGGTAGACCAGTTGCCATCCAAGGCTATAGAACCCAGTCTGTCCTGCTATTTTACCCATAGCTGGGGGGATGAGAAGAAGAGGATTCATACTTTTCCCAAGGGTATTAACACGTAAATGAATGTAATAGATTCAACTGGAATTTGAACTTGGTTCTCCAATTCCTCAATCTGAGCTGCTATCCATTACTCCATCATGCCTCTGAATAACAGTGTACTAAAGATTAAATTACAATTATTAGAATAGAGGTTATAATAATTAAAGTGAAACACACTTGTGGAAAAGTAAAAAAATGACTTCCAAAAATTGAAAGCATTAAGAAAAAGGAAAATTTAATTAGAAACATCAAAAAGCATTCTCAATTATTTTGTCACATCAATCCTCCTATATGGCAGCAAATGCTAGAAATTTTCCTCTCTGATTAAGAAAATATTGAATTTTATATAGATGTTGTTTGACAGAAAGACAATGAGAATATCATTGAATAATATTATTAAGAGCTGCAAAGGATTGGGAGTTGTGGAGGACCATGATCTTCCACATTCTGACACAACACATAGAAGAAGACTACTTTTACGCCATATTATATCAGTTTTTATCTCAAAACACAGAATAGCATGCTGAACTGCTATGTCATAGCAGTCCTCCAATATGGCAGCAAATGCTGAACAATTTCATCACAGATATGTTGTTCTACAGAAGGATGCTGAGAATACCATAGACTGAGCATGTGAGCAAATTCAAAGTAAAAATGGAATCAAATATACTTAGAAACAGAAAAACACAGGAGAAATTTCTGCTGCAGATAATGAACAAAGAGGGCTTGGAGAATTTAACACACACAAGTTATACTGAAGACAACAAGTAACCTACTTAATGAGCTTGTGTAAATAGATGGCAGAATAAGGACTGGGAGAGATAGTAAGCGGGTAAACATTGCTTAGAGCTACAAAGATCTACAAGTAGACTTTTGCCAGTATTATGAGGATACTTCACCATGGAGTAAAAATTAACAAAATAGTCTTATGAATGGGTGGGTAGTGTAACAGTTATCAGCACAGAAAATTGAATTGCTATACCAAGTTCAAATTCTGACCAAGTCTCTTTTGTCCACTTCATAATTATGCCCTTGAAAAATTTTTGAATCCTTCTTCCGTTAGGGTAGCACCCAGTCTAGGAGATGGAAAACCTTTAATTCAAACCCCTGTAAATAATAGGGTAGATTGAGCTCTTTAGCCTAGGTAGGACAACTATGAATCCAAACCCAGGTTAAAATAGGGGTGGGCTCTTTAAAATATTTTGTTCTTGATACTCCCACTGGCTACAGTACATGTGGTATCCTATCAACATTTGAAGTGATTAAGGGACTCATGTCTGTGATCATGATTGGAAAAATGGTAACAAGAAGAAAAAAAAAAACAATTATAAATTATGGAAAAGGCAAAAGTAAATCACTACTCTATGTTTTCCCAGATAATAAAGAAAAGGAATCTGTGGAAAACCTTGATTGCTTACTTCCTGAAGGAACAAGGCATAAAAATAAGGCAGACTGAGCTCTTTAGCATTGGTAGGACAAAATGTTGTAGGAAAATGACAATTCTGGATTCAAAATCAACCTGAAGAAAGATGAGCTCTGTCAAGCTCCCTTGCCCTAGACATAGCCACTATGACCCTAATGAGATACAGGACTTGTGATCAACATCTTATGGATCATTACTCTTCGATTTTCACTATGTACCCAACACTTTATGTTTTTGTGCTGTATGAAGTTAAACTTAATAAATTAATGCAATTTAAAGTTGGTCCCTAATTAAAAGGCAATGTTTTCATTATTACTCATAAGGTCAAAGGTTGCATGATAATAATTTAATTTGTTTTTTAAGTTGACTTTCTAAATTTATAAGAAAATCATTCTAACTTTTTATTTTTGTTAAAAACTTTCTAAATTATGAAGATACACCATGGAATTTCTACAAGTCACCATAGTAAATCATTCCTGTTTTTTAGAGATAAACGAAAGAACACTGCACAGAACTAATTTTCACACATTAGAATTTTTGTTTACTTGTTTTTTACCATGAATATTAATATCAGTAAAGCTTTTAATTGAACAAAGCTAAGTTTTGTGCAAGAAAACATTTGTGAAGTAACCAATGAGCATTAATGGCTTTTAAGATAAGCATCTTAACTGGTGAGACTAATTTCCAGGAGAGAGATTAACTGAAGGGGGTAGTGACAGATAATAATATACTGATGGGAGTCATATCTAGAGTGGTGGGAAATATATCTTTGGCTGTGACTATACAGGTTAAGTCAAAATTAGTACCCAGTTTCTTTTTTTTCTATCAGTTCATTATTTGTTTGCTGTTTGTATTACTGTGTACCACAAGGTAGAAATCAATGAAAGACATATTTATCTAACCATCAATAGGAGTAAATAGGTTTGCCTATCACCAGGTTCACACTTCTCCCCCATGTATTAAACAAGAGTTTTATCCCTTGTTTCCTGTTTAGGATTGGGTTTCCAGTTCCTTCTCATTCTCTTTCACTCTCAGTAAACCCTTGCATCTTAGTGGCATTATCACCTTGATTGGGGTGAATTGATTAAAAAATAATGAAGGAACTGTACCAAGCTGTTTTACTTATAATGTTCAAAGTGCTCTTCCCCTATGATCAAGGCACAATTGCAGCCAAACAGATAGAATGGCACACATGTTTACAGAGTTTGATAACAATTTTCTCAAATTCTGCAGTGATTTTAACCTTAAGTTTCTGAATGGTACAAGGCTTTTCATGGTAAATGAGGTCTTTTGTAAGCCTCGATAGAAAAAAATCTGGAGGTATGTAGTCTAGGGAATATACCAGCCACTCAATCAAATGGTAGCATCTGATCAAGGAAGTCTGGTAAAGTTTTCATCAAGCCATTGACAAAACAAAAAGAACTGATAATCTGCAAGATAAATTAATCTAGGCACTACTTTGGACTCATCATTTATGATAAATTTATCAACACTATTTAAATGAATGTTTAGCATGCTTATTTGATATTGCCTCAATTTAATTAAAAAATGAGAAATACTCAACAATATTTGACATTTATTGTAACAGACTGCACAAAGGTAATTTACATATTTGGCCAAAAAGTAATAATAATAACATATAATAAGTAATAAATAACAATTTAAATAATTTTAATAACTGACAAAGGCTCACTCTGCCTCTTGGCTGGTTTCCCTGTAGTTAATTATTTTAGCAAACACAAATGCAAAAAACAAAACAAGAATTTGGTAATATTCGTTAATAAATTATTAATGTTTTTATATAAAGTTAGATTTTTAATTTTAATAATTGTGTGCCTTGTCATGAAACATTGATTAGCAAATTCCTCTGCAATGACTTGATTATAGAATTGTAGACAAAAACTGTATAACATATATTATCAATTTTATTGAATGTTGGTACATGAAAAACTGTATGACATCTGAGGCAGAGTGGACGTATATGATACTGATCCTAGATAGAGTGGACACATATACTGATCCTTGGCAGCATGCACAGATACGACACTGATCCTCGGCAGAGCATGTTGGAATTTTTGGGTACCCTGTAAGTACTAGTGAGCTAGCCAAAATGAGCTGACTCATTTTATAGTTCACCAAGAGAAGGGTTAACTAATCAGAAAGCTCAAAATATTAAATCCGATGTGTATAAAGGCAGCCATTTTGTTTTTTTCTCTCAAAATATCTGCACTGCCAACCTGATATCGAAGACTTGAAGAATTAACAGCTGCTACTTTCTCCGAATGTACACTGCCAACCTCTGATATTGAAGAGATTACAGACTTCACTGGATTCCATATTCAGAGACTACGGCAAACATGGTCAACAGAGCGCACAGATACGACACTGATCCTTGGCAGAGCACACAGATATGACACTGATCCTCGGCAGAGCGCACAGATATGACACTGATCCTCGGCAGAGCACACAGATACGACACTGATCCTCGGCAGATCACACAGATACGACACTGATCCTCGGCAGAGTGCACAGATATGATACTGATCCTTGT